CGTAATTGGACTTTGTTCTGATTATTGGATCTAGAATCCCTAACCTAACCTTGTCACTAAAAAGATCTAAATCTAGCCTCGAACCAACACTTACCCAAAACCTACCATTCGTAGAACTATGGACCTGAAACCTAGCCTTCCCAAACCTAGTGACCAATGCCCAGACTGGCTAATCTCTATTTAAATAAAGCCAATAAGAATATAGTTTTACATGCAAACCATCGGACCTCAAATCTTCCTCCACTTCAAACAGTACTCGCTGACGGAACGTGATGCTGGATCAGGATTATCGGGCAGTGACTTTCGAGTTGCAGTTTGATTCGCTGGTCCGGAGCAAGTTCAGCCAAAAACTTTGCTTTCCCAGATCCAGTTGATTTTCAGATTTAACATGGCAAAGTCTGCCTACCAAAATCAACATCTAAAAAGATCTAAATCTAGCCCTGAACCAACACTTACCCAAAACTTACCGTTCATAGACTTATGGACCTGAAACCTAGCCTTCCCAAACCGAATATCCAAACGCCCAGTTAGGCTAATCTCTTAGAAGAGAACAAAACAAAACCAACAGGAATATCCTTTTCTCAATCTCCCTACTTCCTGGTCCTCCACATTCTCAGCCCAACGCCCAAATAGGCTATTCTCCTGGAAAGGAGATGGATCAAGGCTTTCCTGGTATAGTCTAACAGGCGTAGGCCAGTGCACGCATCCTCAGTCTCCATACTCCAAACCTTCCTAGACGGGTGCTAGGTCGGGGGGAGCTGTTGTAATTTTTCAAAACCTAACCCTAACCTAACCCTAACCCTAAGATTAATGAAAATACTCTTCAACACAGTGAGAAATTAGCGCTGAAAAGGTGCGGAAAGTTATTTTTGCGACTTACCTTACTGAAAATGCATTTGTAGGAGTTTCCCTTTCGATCACTAAATTTATGGGAGGAGAGTATTTAAATGAATCACGCAAAGCGATTTACTAAGATTTGCGCTGGTCTGTTCACTGGTTTTTGCGGCATTATTTAACACCCAAAAAAAGCATATCTTAAAGTAGGCGGTAATTTGCGCTTTTCTTGGTAGATTGCGCTGGTCATTATATAAATTATCTGGCTGTGTCTGTGTTCTTTAATGTGCGCCTTGTCAGTAAATCACCTGCAGAATTTTCCCTTCCCATCGCGCTTTTATGGAATTGTGCTGTAACGCTAATTTGCCTTGTTTAGTAAATCTGGCCCTTAAGTCTTTAAAATTTATTTGTTACAATGACAAGCTGAAGACCCCACAGTAACTGCATGGACTCAGCACCACGGACCCGATTTGGTGAAAGAACACCTGTCCTCCAACTTCTTGTCCAGGTCATGGTCTAAACTGGACTACTGCAATACTCTTTTAGCTTGCTTTCCTGCTTGCACAATAAAAACTTCATAACTGAACCAGAATATGGCAACACCTTTGGTCATCAGTTAACTCAACATGAGCCCATATTACACCTCTCTTTATATGACTACACCGGATAACAATCACAACCCATATGAAAATTCAAGGCACTGATGCTGGCATACAGAAATGTTAATAGATCTGAACCATGTTACCTACACTAATTTCTGACATGTGTCTAAATAAATCAGAGCATTAATAGGTATTTAATTGATCTGTATTTTATGGCTTTTGTGTGTAATCTGTAACTTGAAGCTAGCATTTTTACCTTTGTCTTTTTGAAGTGTCTTTTAAGTTAAGAAATGTATTAAAGTTTTGAAATGTCTTAAACCAATTGTGACTATATGATAAATAACAAAACAAGTAATTAGAGTTTAATGTAACAAATGTATGTTAACAAGCATTATATCTGCTGAAATTTGAAATCTGTGTACCACCTAACAACACTTGACTCTTTTGTTGTTGCAATGACTGATTGGTCACTTGTATTAGAAGAAAAAAATTCAAGAAACTTCCTCATTTGGCACATTCAGATTAAATCAGGGACAATGTCACGAACAAAATGCTTGAGATTCTACTTAACATTTCTGTTATCAGCTTTTATTTCAGCAGGCAAGTAAAAACTAGGGATGGGGTTAATTATTTTATTAATTTGTCTGATGAATACTTTTGATCTTTTATAAAATTAAACCATATTTATATTTTTATTTTTCAGCTGATGGATATTACGCTTTCATATTGCAAGAATGCATCTACAGTTACCCTGATCTCAGTGATTTGGTGTTCCTTGAGTCATATTCCTTCAATAAAACCGTGCAGCTGCAGTTCAACAGCACTGTGGGAAAGTTTGTGGCATTTACTGAGAAAGACATGCAGCATGCAAAGGCCTGGAATGAGGATCCTAACATCATGCAGTTAATGAAAGTGAATATGGAACTTTGCAAACATTATATTCAACTTGCTGATGAAATTGTCCTTAATAAAGTGGGTAAGTGGCTCAAAACTCTTGTCTGACCTATACCATTCATTAAGGTTCTCTATAAACCTTAACATAACTTTTACAGGAAAATATGCAATTATTTTATTTATTTATTTATTTTAATTTACATTTAAATTTACAATTAGTACAGATTGCCATTTTTTGTATTTGAATTTAACAATATATTTATTTTTACGGCACAAATTTCATTAACTGTTGTGTTCAATATTGCATGTGATCAAAGTATTTATGATGGTTAATAGATATGTACTTAAGATTTTGCTGTCTAATTCAGTGAAACCAAAGGTTAAGCTCAGTTTGGTGAAGTGGGATCAAGACAATCACTCCACCATTTTGATGTGCAGTGCGTATGACTTCTACCCTGAGCAAATCAAAGTGTCCTGGTTGAGAGATGGTAAACCAATGACTTCTGACATGACCTCAACTCTGGAGATGGCTGATGGAGACTGGTACTACCAGATCCACACCCACCTTGAATACACCCCCAAATCTGGAGAGACAATCTCATGTATGGTGGAGCACGCCAGCTTGATTAAACCCCTGATCTACGACTGGGGTAAGAGTAAAGACTTAGCCATACTCAAAGAAATAGTTCAATCATAAATGAAAATTCCGTCATTATCTACTCACCATAATATAAACAACTTGAGCTCTGTTGACAGCATCTTTGACCTGTCAATCAGTTTTCACCGTAGAAACAGTAGGGGCTTTCGCACCACATAGTTCTAGGAACTAGCCACCAAGGCAGTTTCTTTGAGAGCTATATTTAGTTCCCCAAAAGGAGTTCCTAGATCTAAAATTATTCCTAGTTCCTGCAGTACGAACACACCAAAAAGTGGGTACTTCCACAAATAGTTCTAGGAACTATGAAAAGGTGTGAAACCCTCTAGTGAAAAAAGTGTTTTGCTGCTTTAGCTCATCTGATTCAAGGTTGGACGTGTTGTGTCTTCAGAGATACTCATCTGGAGATCTCAGTTGTAACAAGTACACAGTAAAATCCTGAGAGTTAAATTAACACTGCTCGACGCATATATGGTCCCACTCTAAATTTGGTTGCAGTTACTATCTTGTCAAATATGAGCACAGCCATGTCCACACGTACACGGGTATTTTTATAAACTGAGTTTTTCCTTCCTCCATTTAAAAAAAATCTCTGTCCACATGAAAACACAAACGCATGCTATGAAGCACTGTCAATAGCATGCCAAACCAACAGGTGGCGACATAATCCCAACCGTAAAGCCATGTTGGCCAATCAGAAGCCTGAAAAAGTCTCCAGTAGGTGGAGATAACAGCGTAGGCGCCGACGTCACAAGCCAAAAACGCCGGTTTCACTGTCTCCACAATAACACTGCAACCGGAGTTTTTGAAAATCTTCACCCTGGCAGGCTTTTTCAAAAATGTTCGGTTTCAGTGACCTGGCGCTGCGTTTGAGTGTGGACGAACGGCCTAACCGCGTAGAAAAAGCTGCGGTTTTAAAAATAACCACGTTTGTGTGGACAGGCCTTAGTCACAGCCTTAGATGAAATCAACTGAAATAAAAGACATTAAATCTCTCAAGATCTCAGCAGAAGATGATTAATCATCTCCACAAACAGCATCACCAACTTTACATATTACTTACCAGTTTGACTTTTTTGTCATGCGTCTAAAAATTTCTTATTAAGGGTTAACCGAGGTTTAGATGTTAATGTTTATTGAAAAGAATACAATTTGAAGTCACCGTTGTGGAGATAAGCATTTGCTTTAGTTGGGCTCTTGACCCTTGACCTTTTAACATTAGTTTTTCTCTGGTAGCTGTGACTGTGTTTATGAAGTTTTTAATTTAGTTTGTTGAGCACAACTGCATTTTAATGAAATATGAAGAACTTTAAAAACACTTTGCACACCAGTTTAGAACATTTGCACTGTTTAGACACGCAGACATCAAGAATCAGCATATGACTCTCAACAATGGTGACGATCATCAGACAGATTCATGTTGCACTACATTCTGGGTGCACCAATCAAAACTCATCCATGGCTCCCAGCATGCACTGCAACATGAATAAATTATACAGCTGCATTGTCTTAGCATTTTCTTTTATTCTTACTATTTGCTTTTATTTTTGTTATTTTTGTTGTGACTTTTTACTGCCTTGTTTTGTGACATTCAAAAATCATGTCTTGTCGAAACAACAAGGGATTTTAACCCAAGCACATAGCACTGAAACCATATTGTAATTGTTAAATTCCCCAAAGATCAGCATTCTCACCTAAAACTGATAGAGCAGACCAAACCTCACCCCAATCGGCCTCACGGGGGCGTTACAGTGGCGAAAAGTACGAAATCGATTATAATGTCTAAACCGTTAGGCGCAGACTCAGTTCAGACTCTTATATCGTTGGAATCCTTAGCTCAAGTCAGACAAAACACATGCAAAATCAGGTTCAGTCATCTTTAAGTTTTCATCTTTTAAAGTTTTGGATTTTTTTGAAAAACCTACTTTTGCGAACTAGTCCTAGGTTTTTGGCCCAACTGGAACCACAGCATTGCAGCAAGATTCTTTGGAGTCTGATTGTCAATAATTATCAAAAAAGAGTTGATTCATTTCGAATGAGATATTTTCACAAAACTCGGCACACATGCGTCAGAGCTCATTCTGTAGTCACATTAAAAAGGACACAGGGACTGGCCACTTGTTGGCGCTATAACATGGAAAAAATAAAAATGGCTATAACTACGCTACCCGAACTCTGATTTACCTGAAAATGGCAATGCTCTATCTTTGTCCAAGGTGGCAAGACTGCCTTAGAGGACATTAGCGTATCTCAAAAAACTCGTCCGTCAGTGTCAAATGAAGTTTGAACATCTATCAGACAAACTTAACAGGGGCCAATCGGAATGAAACTTGCTGGGCCTGTTTGACTTGAAGCCCTAGAGACCTGTGAGAAATTCTAAAGAAATTGGTGCATAAAGGATTAGATACCTTTTTTCACGTGCATAAAGGATTAGATATCATGCAATTTATTGCACACGCTCACAATATTCATACCACATGATAGAACTCCTCATTCTGAGCAACTTTGCCTCTAGGACCGCTGCTGTCAATTGAATAGTTTGTCAAATTTGGGAGATTATTTCAAAAAACAACTTTCGCAAACTAGTACTAGGTTTTTGGCTCAACCTCAATTAATTTTAAAAACATTAAAACATGCATTTCCATTTCTAAATTTCCTGCATTGGTTGTAAATGGTATTTTATCTCTACGATGTACGTGTAACTGTTGACAGAAAACACTGTAATTTTTTTTAAGCATTGATTTAAAGGCTTTAAAGCACTTGAACCCCAATGATTGCTCCTCGCAGCTGTTTTTCTTTTCTTTTCTGAACCATTCTCTGTAAACCCTAGAGATGGTCATGCATGAAAATCTGTTTAGATCAGCAGTTTCTGAAATAATCAGACAATTATTGTTTTCCAGTTAAAAAGGGTTTTCACAGGTTGTTACATGTACAGTAGAACAGCTCTAATTACCTTGCTTTTAAAAAAGGATAAGAACCCTGCAGAATGTGACAGTTTTGGTTTTCTCAGCCTTCTGAATTCTGATCTTAAAGCTTATACTAAGATCATGGTCCCTCACCCTTAAGTCTATATTCTATTTTTAGTACATTGACCAAACACCGTGATTTTGCCAAGTAAGACATGTTTTGTTGATCCTGGATCAACATTCTTGTGTGAAAATGTTGTCCTAAGCCTGTCCCTACCCTTAAACCTAAACCTACCCATCAGTTGTCCATAAAATCAGAGGGAAATGATAGATGAATAACACTGATGTACAAATTGTGAGAAAAATTTATATTTTCCTTCATTTTCCTTGCAATTGTGAGTTTATATCATGCAATTCAGACTTTTTTTCTCAAAATTGTGAATTCTCATTGGGAAAAAACAATGACTTTTTTCTTAGAATTGCGAGTTTATGAAATAAAGTCACATTACCTTTTTTATTTGTCATTTTTAAATTAACAAAGATTAATCAAATGCTTATTTTAATTTCATTTTTATTGATTACAATTAAAATTTAATAAATTACATCTATTGAATGTTTTTAGAATTTAATTCAGGTGAAGCAACACTGAAATCCTATGGGATTTCAAGAATGACCTTTATACTTTCGAAAAACAGCATGATAGTTATTTTCTAAACATTTATTTGCAATACTGTACATTTGCCCCATAGGTTTCCATTGTAAATACATTACTGTAAACATGATTAATTCATTTATACAGAGATGAGTTGAAATAATTTTTCTGTGGCAGAGCTTAAGTTGTCAATGATCCTGCTCTGACACTCAACAATGTTAAACAACATATAGAACCTGAACCTGTGAATATAGTTGAATTTTGTCTCTGTCTCACAGATCCGTCTCTTCCTGAGCCTGAGAGGAATAAGATCGCTATCGGAGCTGCAGGATTGGTGCTGGGAATCATCATAACAACTGCTGGACTCTTTTACTACAAGAAGAAATCAGCATTAATGGGGATGAGAGCAATTCCAATAGATCATTCTGTATTAATGTAATTTTAGATCAATTACATGTTTTTTTGTCTTTTACTTTGACAAGGGGGATCCTGGTGCTACATGAACTAATATATTTTTTTTTTTTAAACGTTGACTAACATAAGGTATGTTATGTATGTAGGACCAGACATAAATCAACATTTAGATGCTTTGATTGATTTGAGAGGGGTTTGGACCATGACCAAGACACCAGAATCAAACTTGTGTCCCCTGTGTGCAATCCACTGTGAGATGTGTCAAAAAAACATTCATATCCCACAATGCTATGCTGAAAAAATGGGATTTCATTTGGAATTTTAATGTTAAAAGATATATTTTGTAACCGACCTCCACAAACAAACAATGTTGATGACTGACACGCCAGCGATTAAATGTAACCGACAGTAATAAAAATTACCAATTATGCAGAATTTCAGCAAATGTGCATAATGGCCGCTGAGTTGGTAAATTTACAGACTGACCAGTAATTCTGCAAAATTAAATTTTTTCTCAAATAAAGCTAAACATATATAAAACAGTGGCAGGCAGTGGCCAGAATTAAATCAGTTACATAACCTATTAGATTTTAAATAACTTACCCAAACAGCACACAATTCCAGCAGAAGAGATTTAGCTTCTTGTTTGATGCTGTCATCCAGTGGTATCATTTATACTCGCTGGGGCTGAAAAGCTTTCAAAAGCTGTGGCTTTCTCTATCAATTCAAGGTGTAAGTCTTACTTTGCTGATTAACTCCAGCTTTTCTTTAAAAGTTAATATTAAAAACGGTGTTGATAATAAATTAGTAAGGATGTCCTTCTCATTAATATTACTCACGGTTTCCATAGTGAATAACGCTATATTTTATAGCCATTTCCCAACCCCTCATATTCTTAATGATAACAAGCCCCACCTGTTAAGAGGAACAATTTATGGTAGGGTGGGGGAAGAAGCCCCAAGGGGTAAGATGACCCCACCCCAACCTTTAATTTTCTTTATAAGTTCCGTGCGCACTAATTCATCTTTACATTTAATCTGATCAACAGTATTTGTGAGCGTAAACTCATTAGAACAGTTTTTAGGTCAATTGATCTCATTTTCTGAATTTTGAAAAATATGAGCTATCTGTTTATATTACATTGAATATGAAAAGTTTATATGTATATTTGTTTACTGAGATCTGAGGAAATAAATATTAATATTAATAAAAATAAAAGGAAGCAGCTATTTGCACTGTGTAAATGGCGATAGAGGCTATTTACACAGTGCAAATAGCAATAGATGCTATTTACAGTAAGTGTCATTTTTTTTTATTTCACAAAAAAGGGACAGTGTACATTAATCAACATTTGTGAATGTAAATATACCAAAAATTAGCCCAAAGGCTAGTTTTTATTGGTAGTCCCTTTGCCAGATGTTATTAGGCCAAAAAAACTAGAGGAAAAAAGAGACAAAATAGAAAAAACAATAACAACGAAATTCAACCAAAAATTAAACAACAAATTATACAAACTGACAAGTAAAAAAATAAAGAAATATGCATTAAAATTTTAAATAGAAGGCAGCTTATTAAGTTATATAAACAACATTAATGTTCACATGGTTGGTTATGAAGAAGCCATTTCTTAAAATTATGTTTAAATGGGTTAAATGATGTACATTCTCTAATTGATTGTGGTATTGAATTCCACTGATGTGATGCTCTGAATGAAAAAAAAAAACAGCTTGACAAAACAAGGTTTTTCTAAGTGGAATTATGCAATCAGCTTTAGCTGCACCCCTAGTTACTCTATTTTCAATAGATTTAAATGTAATAAAATCAACCAGAGGAGGAGGAGCTAAACCATGCCTAATCTTATAAACTAAACAAACATTTTTTTAAACTTAGTGAGGTTTTCCCAGCTAAGCAGGTTATACATATTTAAGATATGACAATGGTGAAAACTATTTTTTTAACATAAAATGTTAAGTGCTTGTTTGTACAATAATTCCAATGGTTTTAGAACTATAGCATGTGTATTAGACCAACTTGTCAGACAATAAGTAATATGGGAAAGAATAATAGAATGAAAATATACCTTTGCAGTCTCATTTGATAAATAGTTTCTAATGAACCGAAAATGAACTAAATTAAATTTTACCTTTTTACATACCTTTTTACATGCATTTTAAAACCAAGACATGAGTCCAAATTAACCCCTAAGTATTTATATTCTGAAACAACCTGTAATCTCTCTTCTGAAATGAAAATATCCTGCTTTATCAACACTATGTCCTTTAGTAAAGAACATACAAGCTGTTTTTGACACGTTTAATTTCAGATAACACTGATTGAGCCAGGATATGATTTTTGCCAGAACATCCGTCAACTTATTTGCAACCTCTTCTGCATTTTTACCATGTGTGAAAATGACTGTATCGTCAGCATACATTATGATATTACACTGTTGACACACCATGGGTAAATCATTTAATATACACGCTAAAGACCCATGGCTAAATCATTAATATATATGCTAAAGTGAATTGGCCCCAATATGGACCCTTGCGGAAAACCAGTTGAAAGGCATAGTGAATTGGATTTATAATTATCAATTTTTACTACCTAAGAACGGGAAGAGAGATAAGATTCAATTAAATTAAACAAGTAGCCGTTTCGGTTGAATGATTTATCCTAAAGCCGAACTGCATCGGATGTAATTTAAAAGGACTATTATTAAAATGGTCAATAATTTGTTTAGCCATGTTAAATGGGGGTCGCCACCCATAAATATAGGGGCCACAACTGTCGGTTTCCAAGAGGTGGGGAATCTCCCTTGATCTAATGAACTATTAATAATATGTGTTAAAGGGTTAACTATTGAGGAACTAATGTTTCAATAAAAGTGTGTCTATACCATAGTTATCTTTAGCCCTTGAGGACTTAAGAGACATGACTACCTTTTCAACATCTAACTTAGTTACTGGTCTTAATACTAAAGCTGTCTCGCTAGCATTATTTGTTTGTAAATAAGGTTGTTGTACTGTGAAACTTTGAGCAATTTTATCCACTGATTCAATAAAATAGTGATTAAAGGCCTGTGCCACATCAATTGGGCTCTGTAAAATTGTATCATTAATCTTCAATTCAATTGGCCTTGTTTTAATATTATTTTTTATAAATTTTTAATCTGTCTCTATATAGTTTTTGAGTTACCATGAGCATTTTCAATAATTGTGATAAAAAAAATCTGCCTCTGCTTTTCTTAATACTCTTACTACCTTATTTCTTAACATTACAAATTTATTCTGTCATGAGCCATCTTTGATCTTGTTGCTAATTTGAAAGCATTATCACGTTCCTTCATTAATTTTTTACAGTAATATATAATTAACCCAGGGGAAGGACTGTTTCTTGTACCTACATTTCATCTTGACTGAAAAATCACTAATTGTAGATTGTAACTTTTCTGTAAGAATTTGACTAGCTATTTCTGAATCAGTATTATGTAATAAATCTTCCCAGTTCATATTTTTTATAGCTACATTAAAATCATCATGCTTATTTTTTGGAATACCAAAGAATTCCTTATTACTGGCATGCATATTGAATCGCTTGTTAGTTCATTTTCTACATATAAGCACCATATTATGATCTGACAACCCTGTTATCATATTGTAAGACTGTGTAATTCTTTCCGGTCTATTACTAAATATTAGATCAATCTGGGTACTAGTACCATTTGTTATTTGTGTTGGACCTTTGACCATTTGAACCAGATTAAAATCATCAGTGATTTGCTTAAGTTTCTTCCTCACGGTTTTGTCTTCTCAATTTAAATTTAAATCACCCATAACAATAACTTCCTTCTTAAAATCACACTGACATAATACCTTCTTAAGTTCATCATAAAAACTATTATTTAAAGCAGGTGGCGGATAAATAAGTGAAAACGACATCTGAGCAGATGATCATATTTAAACCTATACATTCTAGATCAATACAATTTTGCCATAGGATCTCATTACAATGGATAGTGTATCTCACATAAACCATATTTCCCCCTCCTTTCATTTTAATTCGATCCTTTTAATAAACATCACCACCTGGGACATTTAAAGCTGCTGATGGAGAGTTAGCATGGAGCCAGGTTTCCGATAAACAGAGAAAATCTAAATTAGATTCTAGTAATATATGATTTATCTGATCACTTTTTGATTTTAAAATTAATATATTTAGGTTTCCACCTAATATATCCTTTTGGTTTTGCATTCGGATCCCAAATGATTCTAGAGATATTTTTGGTTTGAAAAACTTTCAATTTCCAGTTAGGTGCTATATACACTAAATGCAAATAGTGATAGAGGCTATTTACACTAAGTGCAAATAGCAATGGATTCTATTTACACTAAGTGATGGTAACGTTCACTTGTAGAACGCAAGCTTCTAGAAGGCACATAAGTCTGAATGAATTTAGGTAAAGGGGAGCAGAGCCAGTGGTGGTTTTTTAGGCAAACATTAATGCCTTGAATTTTATGCGTGCAGCTATTAGAAGCCAGTGCAAATTGGTAAACAGAGGTATGACATGCATTCTTTTCGGCTCATTAAAAATGTATCTTGCTGCCGCGTTCTGGATTAATTGTAAAGGTTTGATAGAACTGGCTGGAGGACCTGCTAAGAGAGCATTGCAATAGTCCAGCCTGGACAGAACAAGAGCTAACACTGCACTGGCTACCTGTTAAACCTCGTTTAGATTTTAAAATCTTGCTTATTACTTATAAAGCCCTGAATGGTTTAGCACCTCAGTATTTGAACGAGCTCTTGTTACATTATAGTCCTCCACGTTCGCTGCGTTCTCAAAACTCTGGCAATTTGATAATACCTAGAATATCAAAATCAACTGCGGGTGGCAGATCCTTTTCCTATTTAGCGCCCAAACTCTGGAATAACCTACCTAACATTGTTCGGGAGGCAGACACACTCTGTCAGTTTAAATCTAGATTAAAGACCCATCTCTTTAACCTGGCTTACACATAACACACTAATACGCTTCTAATTTTCAAATCCGTTAAAGGATTTTTAGGCTGCATTAATTAGGTCAACCGGAACCGGGAACTCTTCCCATAACACCCGATGTACTTGTTACATCGTTAGAAGAATGGCATCTACGCTAATATTAGTCTGTTTCTTTCTTATTCTGAGGTCACCGTAGCCACCAGATCTAGTCTGTATGCAGATCAGATGGTCACTGCAGTCACCCGGATCCAGTACGTATCCAACCCAGATGGTGGATCAGCACCTAGAGATGACCTCTACACCACTGAATGTCAGCGGAGACCAGGGAAACTAGATGAGCCCCAGAGACAGATCCCCAGTGAAGACCTTGTCTCCTAGATGGCCACCGGGACAAGTCCACAGGAACCAGATGAGTCCTCTGCATAATGTGACTTTGCTGCAGCCTGGAATTGAACTGCTGGTTTCATCTGGCCAGAGGAGAACTGGCCCCCCGACTGAGCCTGGTTTCTCCCAAGGTTTTTTCTCCATTCTGTCACCAATGGAGTTTTGATTCCTTGCCGCTGTCACCTCTGGCTTGCTTAGTCTTCTTCTTAGCGTTTGCATTGCGTGCCCAGCCATAGAACAGCATCTTGTTCAACCAGATGTAGAGCCTCGAGTCCGCCGTTGAAATAAGTCAGTGGACACTCGTTGACAATGTGCTGCATGGTTTCAGGTACCCCACAGCTGCAGTTCGGATTAGTGGCTTGGCCCCACCGGACAAGGTTGACTGCACATCGACCTTGTCCCATCCGAAACCG